CCTCCACAGCTCTGTCATTACAGCCATCTTGATGTTGTCCATGTCTTCTAAACTGGTCTCCTTGATGATCTCCTTGAGCTTGGGGAAGAAATCCCACAGAGCCAGGTGGGGTGAGTAGGGAGGTTACTCCAGCACAGCGATGTTCTTCTCAGGCAGGAACTGTCGGATGCTCAGGGCATTGTGAGCAGGTACGTTGTCATGGTGAAGCAGCCACGACTTGTCCTGCCACAACCCTCACCTCTTCTTGCGCACTGAATGAAGTAAACACCACAGGAATCTCTTTGTAGACGTGCTGGCTTATTGTCTGATGGGGAAAACTCGAAGTTTGTAGTTTGGGTTTGAAATCTGTCTTTTGTGGCACCAGTCCTGGAACTTTTCTGACACACCTCGTATATTGCCAATATATCATTGTGGATTTGTTGCGTCTGATAAAACACAACAAGTTAAGATGGCAAATTGCTGAACTTAAACCGTTGCATTGTCTCTGTACTGCTGATTTATCTTGGCTCATCCACCAACACTAAATCTCTCTGTACAGGAGCTAATTTGGAATTATGACACATGCTTGCTCTTCTCAACCACCTGTCAGCTAATTTTAGACTTAGGCTCTGTTCCAACATCCATACTACAAAACTATATAGTACGCCAGGAAAAGATTCAGTTTGTCTCAATACATCTATGTCAAATGTAGTAAGCCAAAAATACCTGGATGTCCTACTACAGTCAGTCGGACTTTGCAGCATGCAAAACAGCAAGCTTTTCTGGCCATTCTGACCCACAATCCTTTGCAAGCAGATGGCAGCTCCAGTCTTGCCTGGACAAACGTTTTTTGGAGGTGAACCTGGCAATGAAGCCACACCATAATACAGCTACAAAAATTATACAATCGACGACAACAAAGAGGAGGAAGGCAAAGCACAGTAACAACCAAGGAACAAAAGGCACCTAAAACAAAATCCAATTCGGGAATAGCGTCAGAGCTGTGAACTCTGCCAGGAGACAAAATCATTAAGCTGCAGTATTTTCTGAAGGTTATTTCATGAGCAGGGCACAAAATAGGTGAAGGCCGTTCTACCAAGTTCAGAATAAATCCTGGTCTCCCTGAATAGCAGCCATTTACATGAGTGGAAATCAAGATTGCACATAAAAAGGACTTTGTATATAATATATACCATTGTAAAGGCTCCGAGTGCTTCCTACCCAACTTCAAACAAAGACGTGATCCTTCTAACAAGTACCGCCTGCATATCCAAAGCCTGATATATCTTCCTCTGTGTCACAGAGCTGCACTGTTGTCCAAAACCTATAAAAACAGACATCAGTGAGTCACTGAGTTGTACAGTCTGGGCAGCAGACAGCCCGGGGAAGACAGGAATTACTAAGAGACAGCTGAACACATTGTTGGCTTTGGCCTTTTCATTGATTTGTTACCAACAGGAAAAATAATGACAGATTAACGACAGTCCTAAATTAACATTATACATGAAATTCAGCAAACTATCATTCTAATCCTGAAGGACGTTTCGCACATTAGCCACTGTAGAAAGGAATGTTTATAACAGTTTTAGCTGTAATTTTATGAAGAATTTACAGTTTGAAAAAAAAGAAAAAAAAGATTCTCCCTGTTTTGTTAAATTACAGCTAAAATTGAGTAAAACAACAGAAAAAAAATATTTATGTGAAATAAAAAGCACACACACAAAACTAGAATTTCCCAACAAAATCTAGGTAATTAGTTCTTTCACAAAATGACACTATTTCTTACGGTACCTAAATAGGCAAAAGATATCGTTATTTTACAGGTATTTGCTGTTGTTTTCCAAGAAAAACTATGTATATTAAGGACTGGCAAAAGGTGAATCATTGATTAAATTGTTATTTTTCTGATTTTCTTTGTTTTGTTAAATTACAGATAATATCGATGGTGTAATGTAAATGTCCACATAAAGGTTAATTTTTTTTTTATTTATTTATTTTTTGACCATGCTTGGCCACACATTTACACAGTTGAACTGTATTTAAATTAGCTAAAAATATAATTATTTTCCAGTTACTTTATTATATTTTCACCAGTTTTACAGCTCTTAAAAGTTACCATATTCCAATCATATTTTTTCTGGCACCCTTGCTGCCAGATTTATTTATTTTAAATTTTTTTTAACTGATGTTCTAAAATGTATTTATTTATTTTTTAGTGTGTGTGTTATTACCAGATTTCACAGACTAATGATGATGGCGCAGCTTGGTCAGTTTTGCTGTTGCCGGGCCACACTGAGCACGACAGGGCAAAAAACGGGATGTGTGGGTGCAAAGAGACGCGACTGGCCAGAGGAAATGCAGCGCTGGACGAGGAGAAGGATGGTGAGGAAATTCCTCCCTCACTAACCTCCCTCTCCCATGGCGTGCTTCAGAAGGCAAAAAAAAAAGGCCAAGTATGTGCTCAGGAAGCTCCCTGCCACCGCTGACCACATCGACGTCACCCTTTGTGTTTTGGTGGAGGGTGACTGGGGAGGGTAATATTTTAGTATGTGTGAAAGCATACGGAGAGGACCTGATAATGCCCTGGGTGATGTAAGGCACTGTTTCTGTGCTCAGTGTGAAGGGGGTGCAGCAGCGCGAGTGTATGTGTGGCTACATGTAGGGGATTGGATGGTTGATTACCTAATGTTTGACTTATCCCCTTACTATAATTTGCTACGCAGGCTCTGATTACAGTGGCGCCTCAACCTGAACAACCTGTGCCTTTTTATGTTCTGACATGGCCACACACAGACAGCCAAACGCATAATGAGCGTGGAGTTCCTCGTAAATTAGACCTCTGCAGAGCTCACTCCTCCTAAGCTCTGTGAATATTCTCCTCTGTAGATTCTGTATAAGAGAATAAATCCCATAACTATCACCATAAATAAGCTACTGATGCTGCATTAAGACTCAAAGAATCTCACACAGGTGTGGAAGAGCAATAACAGACAATAAAAAGATCATAAAATAACTCGTTTTCTAGTTTATTTTTCCACTTTAGCTTGTGAGATTTTGATGAGGTCTTTATGGAGTGGACATACTTTCTGGATTTGGATTACAGTCCATTTACACCTGCTGTTGTAATGTGAATATGACGGGTTTGTAGATTTTACCAGAATATCATCAACATGTAGCACACATTATTCACCCCAGTGACAATTTCAGCTTTTACCAGCTTATAAAACAATACTGGAGGGCATCTGAATGTGTCGGCTTCCTGTGTAGGAATGCGTGAATACATGAATCCAACACATGAATGACAACAACACCCTGCTCACTTTTCTGTAAAAGTAGCGAAAACAACCTCACTAGGTTGGACTGAGTAATGCTGACATACATTTGCAACAAACAGGCCCAAGCAATGTACTTCAAGTTGTGTAGAGTGAGTTGGAAAAGACTTTTTCCACATTTCAGCACCAATTTTGATTCAAAAACATCACAGACAGCAAAATCCAGATTGTAACAACCATCAACTGGAGTTAAGGTTTGTTTGTTGCTTCCAGCTGTTTAGGAGCCTTTCCTCTGAGTTTATTAAACACCTGCAGCATCTATTGGAATACATATCATTCACCTCAGTGGCAATTTCAGCCTTTTTCAATTTACATCATAGTGCTTGAGAAGAGTGTAACACACTATAATCAAAAGCTCCTTTCAGACATGCACTCTTTTCTGTTAATCTAAAGGTTTTTGATGGTGTCAGCTTAGTGTCTGAATCAACACCCTGGCATAAGTGATGTAATTTAAGTTGTGTGAAGCAATTTGGGAAAGGTTTTTTCTACATTTCAGCAGTGACACTGTTTAAAAATAATAATAATAATAATAAGCACAGAGAGCAAAAACAGTGTGTTTGCTAAAATCACAAATTCACTTTGCACTACAGTTCCACATCTATTACAAACTGACAAACAAACTTCCCATTAAAATATACGTTACTTTGATAAAAAATGGAGTCTGTAACAGGTCAGATTAATGAGACTCGCGGATAATAAACATAATCCAGGTTTTGCCTAATAGGAGCTGAAATTTGTTGCTTCCAGCTGTTTGCAGGAGTGTTTTCTCTGAGTTTATTAAATATCTGCAGACAGCAGTAGGATTCATATGTGGGTCTCAAACATTTATGTATAACAGCAGTGGCTTCATTAATTACTTATAAGTCTAGATGATCCCTGACATGGAGACAGGATGGATCAGGATCTACCAGCAGGTCACAAAGAGTCAGTTATAGCATTAGTTTCATGGCAGCTGTCCTTAAGTTCAGTCCTGAGCTCCATCACAGCTGTTGTGATATTTTTTGGATATTAGTTATTTAGACAGTTTGATAGGCTTGTTATCAGCTTAGATTTAGTCTTTTGTTTGTGATTTTGATAATATACTTACCCGTGTTGCATGTAAAGGCAAACCTGCATTACGTTGGCTTGTTCTGTCACTGTGGTGGGATGTCTGAATAGAGCTGTAAGAAACCTTATTGTACAGGGGGGCTGTGGCTGAATGACAGAATGCTGTCACTTTAACAGGATGATGAACACTGTTGTGCATTTTATGTCTGCAAAGAGTTATAATGTCTGTGAACACACAGGCCAGGCCTGAAATATGGTTCTGCTTTAATGCGCCATGTTTTGGGTTTTTTTTGAGACGTCTTGGCTGGATTCACACCATTTCATGTAAACACACACACACACAAAAGCACATCAAAAAGCATCTGTGTTCTTGAAACATTTCTCCCCTGAAGCACCAATTTTCCACTTAAATGGATTGTGTTAGTTGAGCCATTGAGACCATTGCTGCCAAATTTTTCAAAAACAAGAAAACAAACTTACAGATTATTCACACACATCCCATCCCCTGTGGCTTTGCTCATCTCCAGCATGATGGAAGCTCAGACGCTGGTTAGCCGATGTAACGTGTTCTTTAATAGAGGAACTTAGGGTGGGTGTGTTTGTGTTTGTGATGTAAAATCCTTGTCACCTCCCGCTGCATGTCTATGTTGAGGTGGCGGCTGTTGGGTCGGCGTTGTTGGAGGGAACGCTGAATAAGTCCTGCAGAAGGGCGGTGTAGTTCACATTTTTCACCGTAGCTTCGTCGGCATCAAACCTCACGTTCACATGAAACTGGAAAGAGGAATACACGTTACTGCATGACTCGGACAACATCAAATTATTTACATGCTCAGTGTTGCTAGTAACTGATTATTTTTAGTTTCCATCTTGAGTTTACTATTTATTGTTCTCTTCTTAGCATTCTAACTTATTTGTTGTTGCATCGTAGGTAAAAACCTCTTCTTTGTTTCATTTGTCTTATTCTGCTTTATATGCCCTGATTTTTTCTTGAATTTCCTTGAACTTTGAATTTTCAGTGTGCCTCGGGTATTCTGTGTTAAAACATTGCTTTGTTTCAGCATCACTCTCTGAAATGAGGAAAAATTCTTCCTCAAATGTCGCTACACAACCCAAACTACTGTTGCTTGTGCGTGTCTATCTGTTAATGCGACAGTATGTAGCTCCGACTTGTGCTGTGTTAAAAGTGAAATTTGAAAGATTGCTGTTGCAACTTTCACAGAAGAGTGAGTTGGGTGTTCATTCACACATGACGCTGAATCGTTCAGATGCCTTCAGGTTTAGCAGAAAGAAGAGAATGTCTGAAAAGAGTTAATGACACACAAGGTGCAGTGGCTGTTCTCAGTCTTTTACAGTTTAATTTCAGGCTGTTTTAGAGCAGAGGGCAGAGTAGTTGAGCAGAGACTGAGCGACTAGTTTTGGCTTAGAACCCGGCGAGGCAAAGAGCAGCTGGAAACCGTGGCAGAGGAAAATTAGACAAGGACTGTGTCGGCATACACACTGCAACATCCAAACACACACACAAATTCAGTGCACCCTCATTCTGTCCACACAAACCGCCCTTTGTTGTCATGCCAAGCTGTATATCTGTTTTGCTCACCTGTTTCTGCTTAGATGTGGCCGTGGCCAATCATGCCAAATCAGAATTACATGGAGAAGATACAAATACAGGAAAGAAGAACAGAGGAGCTGCTTCTCTCATTTTGACCACCTCTGTGCAAGTGTGTCACCTTATCTAAAGTCATTCTCTGCGCACAATAAATTGTCCTCTTGTCCATTTCACTACTTCTTCCCACTCACTTGATTCTGCCTTTGGCTCACTTATCCCTTGAGTCATTGCAGGTAGGGCTAAAATGTAGATTGATTTTCACTTACACCTATTTAAAAATCTGTGCACACACTGTGAAAATCACTTACTGTCCCTTTCTGATTGACTCTCACTAAAAGTACGTTTTGTCCCCTGTTTTTCCATCTAAACTTTACTTGTTTTGTGTGTATTGTTGTCATTCCTCTGTCTTACCTTTAAGATGTCATCGGGCATTACTGGTGGAGCAGGATTCTTTATCCAGTCAATACCAGCAAGGAAGGCATAGTAGTCAATCTCATCTCCATCTGCAAACCTACGGCAGACATGGATACAAGAAACAGTTCGCATAGCACCAAGTAAGGATTTAAAGACCCCATATTATGCTCATTCACAGACTCATAAATGTATTTTTGGGATCCACTAGAATATGTTTACATGCTTTAATGTTCAAAGACATATTATATGTACACTACTGCAGCACCTCTTCAGCTTCTGTCATTAAGGTTCCCGAGCTGATTACTTGCAATAACGGTATGATTTTATATTTATACATACATACATATCATACACACACACATATATGTATATATATATATATATACTTTATGAAAAACTCTTTGTTTAAATATGCATATCAGATATATGCAAATCTAAAAATGTCAAAATTTGTAATAATTTACAGAATACAAATTTCAACTTTTTAATTTACATATTTTACACACATACAAATTACATATTTTATGATTTCATAAGTCAGAAATTAGTGTAAAAAGTCTGTCGTTGCCATGGTCTTTTGAATAAAATATAAATTAGGCTTTGACTGATTTATGAACAAACCAATCTGTAAAAACCTTCAGAATCTGGCGTACGCAGGTGCTACAGAAATGGAGATTTCTCTCCAGAGTGTGATGAAAAAATTATTTTGAAAAGGCAGCCTTCAAAGATATGTATTACATTTAAAAAAATCTACAGACACAAATAGAAAAAAGTGCAACAAACTAAACACACTGCGTATTTTGGAGTAGTGGAAGCAAAATACCCTCAAAATTTCCAATGCATGGAAAAATTTTGTTTTTGCCAGCAGTGTCTCAACTTACTGTGTTCACACCAGACGCCAGTAAAATCATTCGAGTGAATGATTTACATGTATAGTCAACATGAAGACGCAATTAGACGCAAGTAGACGTCCTGTAGTGCGAATAGCGTGGCGCAAATGGCGCGAATGATGCGAAATGAGCAAGTTATTCATGATGCGATTCTCGCCGCGTTAAATGCACAAGTTCAAAAATCTGAACTCAAGCCATTTTTTACGCCGCTATGGCTAGTCAGCGTTGAGATCCTCTGGTGACTTCAAGAACATGATTCATTCATTTTTTTGCAACTACACCGTGAATATTGATTGATTTACTCACTGGAGACAAATGGACAGGCGCTCTGCAGTTGGGATAGAGCGCCTATATCCTGGTACTGATCCTCTCCAACAGGTCGTCAAACTGGATCTGGGTCAGCCGAAGCGCAGGAAGCGGCCTTCATCCAGTCGCAGCTCCTGGAGAAGGTGGTGGAATTCCCCAAGCTGTGTGCGTGTCTGGAGGATCCGATGGACCCAGACACGGCAAATTCGTGCGAATGACGCGAATCCAGACGTGAATCTCGTCGCGTTAAATGTGCGAACGATTCGAATTATTCAGGCGTAATATAAAGGCGTCCAAATACATGCCAACAACGTGTTGAATTTGTGTCTGGTGTGAACGCAGCATTAGGCCTCCTCGTGAAAAGCCCAGACTGTTCTGGTTGGTCAGCTGGACCAGCAAAAGCGAGGTAATGCTGGTTATGTATTCTAACTTTTAATTTATGAGTGTAGGGATGTAGCTCCTGCAGAAGAAGTTTCATGAGGAAATAATGTTGGATTGCTCATTCTTTGTTTGAGGGAAACACTAGCTGCTTGGGGGGCATTATGAATAGATGTTACATGATGATGTAGATAAGTAACAGAAGAAAAGCCTGGACTTAAAACAAGGCATTTTATGCAGGTAAGGAGAAGTGTTTTTTTTAAGAATAACTCCATTTAGTGTGGATTTTAAGCTTTTATATGCACAAAAAAAGCAGTTGTGTAACACACTGAAGGAAAGGGAGAAACCTACAAAGCAGAATATAGGCTCTTCAAATGAAGCTATTATGCACAACTTCTAATGCATCATTTTTACTGGTATTTAGTCTGAATGATGGTTCAGAAATTTTTCAACTATGCCAAGAATAATTCTGGGCATAAAATTGCCGCTATACTTTAGTGAAAATGAATCATTCAAAACCGTTCTGAAAATGTTGTGGTACCTGAAGTGTGCAGTGATTAGTGGGCTCTTACTTGCTGAGCAGACCTCCGAGCAGGTTCTCTGGCAGGGGGAGCTGGAAGGCTTTACAAATGGTCCTTGTGTCTTTGGTGGAGAGGTGGCCAGTTCTAGAGACAAAGAAGAGCAGAAAAACACAGGCACCTGGTATAAAAAAAAAACAACAACAAATCTTCAGTTTGCAAACTCCGGTGTGGACTCACGCTGGCTACATGCCTGTTTGTGGTGAGATATCTGAAAACAGCTCGAAGAAAAAAAAACAAGCTGTTTGGAGGCCAATATATGACATCATAGAAAATGTGCCACCAGCAGCAACATGAGCCGGCCTTTGTTGTCTTTTCAAAAAAAAACTACCATTCCTATGCGTATAAACATGGAGCCATTATTTATGGAAAAATGCTTCAAACTGATACTGTATACAGACAATGTGTGTGCGTGACACAGAGGATGCTTGTCCTCTAAGACCACAGTTGTTTTCCACTGTGATGCCAGATAGTCCAGAGGCTCATTCCTGACATGCCATCTTCATTACAGGGACGCTGATGAACAATCTGACGCTAACTGACGGTGTCAACAGAGTCGTACACACAGACAGCTTATCCATTTCAGCTAAAAGCAGGTTAAAGGTCTGGTCCTGTGGATGAGGAGTTGTAGGCGCTTTAAGCATGTGACTTTATTCACAAAAACTAAAGGAGAAAGACACACAGGCAGAGGCAGACGAAGTGTGGGTGTGTGTGTGAACTGCAGAGCTGCATGCCATACAGGTCTTCAGGGTCCATCTGGTTCCAATGCTCCACTCTCGCATTGCTGGAACTAATCGCTGCTCTGAGATATGGGGCCAGTGGCTGCACGATTGATGTCTTGTTGTGACGCTATCTGCCTGTCTGTTTGTGTGTGTGTATGTGTGTGTGGGTGTGTTTCTGTTGCAACAATATTTGTTCTTAAGCAAACATCTGTGTGTGTGTGTGTGTGTGTGTGTGTGTGTGTGTGTGTGTGTGGTACAGTATATGTGTGTGATGCTCACTTGTGTCGGTCTTGGTGTGCAAAAGCTCCAGTCATGTCAGGGAGCTCCTCAAAGTGCTTCTTCTTGAGGAAGTCCTGAGCCACGGCCAGCATCAGGCCCACGTCCACCTCGGGCTGCGAGCGCTCGGAGAAACGTCGGCACAGAACCAGAACCTCGTGCTCTGACAGACTGCAGTCCAGATCCATCAGCGTGTTCCTGCAGGCACACACACCATTGATGGGACATGAGTTAACCACATCTTACAACTTTAAAGAATTCAGTTGCTATTTACACCCTCCAAACTTGACAGAATCTACTCAGCATTATTTGCTTTCTGAGAAGTAAGTTGCTACAAGTCAAAATATGCTCTCATCAAACCAAATACATATTAGTAATACATTCACTGCTGTTACTTTCATATGAAGAAAATCACATTAACGGCTTTTCAGGATTAATCTATTATTTTTGCCAGCTAGAGGAACAGGCTACCGGTAAATGTTTTCACAATTTTGAACTGATCCAACCTAATGCAGAGGTCGAACTTATTTTACTGAACATTTACTCAGAACTACCTGACACCATGTCAAAGAAATCGTTGGTACGGCTGCATTTTGTGTCATAAAGTGAGATGCAAACTTTGCAAAAAGCAGTTTGTGTAGCAGCTCAACAAGCAACATGGCAAATTATCTAAAAACAGCAGCTAACTTGTCTTTGTTATATTCCTCAACAGTCTTTGTGCTGTGATCACTGGTCCGTTCTGAGTCATTTTAACATGGTTAATAATGATCATGATACTGCAATTACACTTCATGGTCAGAACCTAAATATAAATCTGGACGTACAGTAGATTTGAATTTTGCTCTGATTGAGTGGACTCATTTATTTCAGTATGCATTAATGTGAGGCAAGGACAGAACTGTTTCTGCTGCAGTGCTGTACCTGAATGACTCATAGGGGATGAAGCCAGTGTTGGTGGGATCACTGAGAGCCAGAAACTTCCTGATCTCACTCTGCTTCTCCTCCGTGACAGACCGTAGCTTACTGAGGATTCTGCCTATGTTGGCTTTGGGAAACTTTTGATAATAGCACACAAACACGCACTCTTTAATCACATGTAACATTCCAAAGGAAAATATGACTGCTTCCCGTCTCTGTGCCAAAAACCACAACTGAAAACAAGCCTGTGATACCACAACCAAACAAACATTCTTTCCGCAGTTTCCTTCATACCTCTTCAGCATGTTTCTCCATGTAGTTGAAGGTGTACTCATCAGTAGACAGAAGCTGGAAGTTTTTACTGTTGATGCAGAGAGTAGCTCCGATGTACAGGTCCTGAGCTATGAAGTATTCAGACAGCTCCTTCTTAAACAGCTCCTGGCCAGGCTTCTTCACTCGACCACGCTCCAGAAACTTTCCACCCAGTACACCTAGTACAGGAGGAAAGAAAAAGTGTAATTTAGCTGAAAAGGACCTGTAGTGATAAGTATCTTAACACTTTTTAAATGCACTGCCTTCACTTTTTTTTGTATAAACAAAATGTTTTGTTTATAAATTGAGATAAAGGTCCACTCATATCATTCAGTTTGACATCATTTTAAATGGCTGGGTATCTTATTCTGCAGCCATGCTGACAAGTGCCTGACCCAATGGTTTAGTATTCATCTTGCACCGTAAAAACTACCATTAAATATTGATTTGCATCAATGGAAATGCAGGTCTAAGAACTGACCGTCATCTGTTTCAACAGTTTTCAAAAGAGTCTGGAGCTGGAAACTCAATCTGACAAAGTTAATGTTTACCATGAGAGTCATAGATTTGTATCTGGGGTCCTGGGAGTGGCTCTGGTGCAGCTGTGCTCCAGACGGTTTTACCTGAGTTCCTCTGTGGAGGTTCAAACACACTGATGGAGTCATCGCACAGGTAGAAGGAGATGATGAACACCCGCTCTCTGTCAACTGCATCACTGGTCACCATCTTGGCACGGAAATTCAGCACATTACTCTCTATGCCACGTCTGTGGGGACAAAAACACACAACTAGAGTTGGAGGCCACCACGAACACGCACACAAACACACAAATATTTCAGTGTGTAATTTGATTGTGACTGTGACTACCACTCATCCAACCTGTCCTTCTCCATAAATTTGTGGAAATCTTTCCGTGGGGGCTTGGGCAGCAGGCCCTGGCAGGAGCTCAGTGAGTCCTCCTCTGAGCCAAAGCCATTGTAGGGGGGCATGAGCCTCGAGGGCTTCTGGGCTGGGGGAGCTTTGTACTGCAGTGGGGTGAAGTCCTCTGAGAGGAAGGAGCAGAAAGAAAAGACAAAACGCTTTAAAGAAGAAAGAAACCCAGGAGGAGAGCTAAAATGATCAGAGGGAGGCAGGTAATCCATCCCTGGGCTGACCTCTGACTGCTCAGAGTCAGACAGGACCCTCCATCACTGTGGCCTGTCAGCAGGGGCTCCGCCTGCTTTATACTGTGACTAATGCAGCAAACCCCCAGAACCTGCCCAGGGTGGCAGACACAGCCAGGACCAGCCTGGGTTTCTCCTGCTGCCGAGCGCTGTGCCTCCCGCGGCCCCTGGAGGCCTGAAAATCTGATGTCAAGTGGACAGTGGTGCTGAACTCTCTCACTGGTTCAATATTCATCAACCAAGAAGTGATGAGAGAGAACACAGCACATCTCAGCTGTTCTAACTCTGTGGATATAAGTACTACATCCCCCAGCAAAGGTTCCACTGATCTGAATCAGTTTTTTTAGGACGGTAACGGCGCTCACTCGTGTTTGCTCCTACTGCCCCCAAGTGTCCAGAATGATGCAAAGCAACGGAGAAATACTTAAGTTAAAGAACTTACAATATTATTTATGATACACATTTACCTAACTAGTTTAAACATTAAGGCAAAACCATATAATAATAAAAAATATATATTTTTTATAAAGATCAAATTTATCTGACTTATTTAAATATTAAAGTCAAGACCCTATAATATCATATATAATATTAGATATAAAATACACATTTACTCGACTAATTCAAATATCAAGATTAAGATTCTAATACAATTTGTTATGTAAAACAGGTCAAATATTTATGTTTAGGTCCTACAATCCATCCATCCATCCATCCATCCATCCATCTATACACCGCCTAATCCTCACGAGGGTCGTGGGGGGCTGGAGGTCGCCAGTCTATCACAGGGCTACACTTAGAGACAGACAAACAAGCACACTCACATTCACACCTGCGGACAATTTAGAATCACCAATTAACCTCAACATGTTTTTGGACTGTGGGAGGAAGCTGGAGAACCCACACTGAGCGAGGAGAACATGCAAACTCCACGCAGAAAGATCCCGCTGTCCTCACCAGGACGTGAATCTGCGAACTTTTTGCTGCGAGGCGACGGTGCTGACCACCGATCCACCTTGGACTTCTATCTCGACCGGGTGGGGAGAGGGTGAAGGGGAGAGAGAAAAGGAAAGCATACCAAAAAAAGACAAGAGAACCCAGACAGTGGTAATTACCAATGTCGTATTTGGAGCGATAGTAGTCTTTGGTGAAGTCATCACAGTCGGTGATGGTCACTATCCTGCCCCACACATTTATCTCCCCTCCGATAACCAGGTCACAGTCCTTATAGAACTCCTCATGGTTAGCTCCAGTCTGCAGGAAAGAGTGGAAAATACACATTCATCACTTGTTGAACCTTGTGTATGAATTTCTATTTAGATTGCAGTGAGTGCTGGTAATGAACAGAGCAGGGTCAGAGTTGACGTGTTAGTTTCAGGGGAAATAGTGTTCTGATACAAGCTTACCTGATGGTCAAAAGTATGTGAACAAGTAATCACACATACCATTTACTTCATCCTCTGTGTGCAGTGAATCAAATGTTACTCATGTACTGATTTATTAAGAAGTCGATGTTTCCGTCACAAGGACTTTTCCACTGAGGCATGCTTATTGTAGATTTGGCCATTGAGGGGGTGTTTCAGGAGATTTGAGATGTCACATGCTTTGTGGGAATCTTGAGTGTGGGGATACACCTCCAACACAGCTGTGGACTGTCATGTAATTATGAGCAATATTATGGGCTGTATTTAAGTCCTGTATCACTTTATGAATGATACGTAATTAGAAATGCCCTTCTGACTAAACGGTTGACTTTTTAATAAATCAGTGACATATACAGTCATGGAAAAAATTATTAGACCACCCTCGTTTTCTTCAATTTCTTGTGTGTTTTAATGTCTGGTACCACTAAAAGTATATGATCTGAAGAAAACAATTACCATGACAAAAAATGCAGCTGATTACATCATACTTATGTCCTATTTGACATCCATCCATTATCTATACACCGCTTAATCCTCATTAGGGTCACGGGGGGCTAGAGGCTATCTCAGCTGACTTAGGGTGAAGGCAGGGAACACCCTGGACAGGTCACCAGTCTATCACAGGGCCACACTTAAGAGACAGACAACCAAGCACACTCACATTCACACCTACGGACAATTTAGAATCACCAATTAACCTCAACATGTTTTTGGACTGTGTGGGAGGAAGCTGGAGAATCCGGAGAGAACCCACACTGCACGGGGAGAACATGCAAACTCCCCGCAGAAAGATCCCAGTGTCCCCACCGGGACATGAACCGGCTACTTTTTTGCTGCGAGGCAACAATGCTAACCACCGACCCACCTTGCAGCCCCCTATTTGACATGCTTATAAGAGGCCATTTAATGTCATAAGCGGCACTGCACATGCAAAGGCCTACAGTGGTTTCCTGCTTACATTTAAGTCGTAGCACAACTCAGAAGCTGTCAGCTCTCACATAATGCCTAAAACAAAAGAATTATGTGAACCCTTAAAGACAGCCATCTTGGCACTGCTGAGAATTGGCATGAGTGAGAGACAAGTAGTGAAAAAACTGAAGATCTCCAAGACAGCTGTTCATTACACCAAGAAAAAACAAGTCCACTGTGGTGCTACTAAATTGCTAGCTGGTCGCGGCAGGAAACGTCTTTCTAACCCATGAGATGACCGTGCACTCATCCATTCCTGTGTCAGGAACAGTCGTCAGACCTCCAGGGACTTTAAAAATGAGTGGGCACTCTGGAGAAATGTGACTTGTTCGGCAAGGACAGTTCAAAACCCACTTCTTGAAGATGGTCTGAAGTCACATGGGGCACAGAAGATTGGACTGCTGATGATTGGGCTGAGGTTCTCTTCAGTGATGAATCCAAATTCGCCCACTCCAGCCAAATTACTGGTTAGGATGAAGCCTGGAGAAGCCTACAGACCAGACTGTCTTGCCCCTACAGTAAAACATGGGGGTGGATCAGTGACCATCTGGGCTTGTTTCAATATGGGTGGAACAGGGCAAATGCAATTGTGCGAAGGCCGAATGAACCAGGTCATGTACAGGGCTACTCTCGAAAACAGTCTTCTTCCATCAGCTGGAAAACTCTTTCTTGCCTCCAATAACTGGATTTTCCAACAACACAATGCCCCTTATCACATGGCAAGGTCAGTTAAAGCCTGGATGGAAAACCAGAACATTGGAACCGTGCCTTGGCCTGCTATATCACCAGATCTAAAACCAATTGAAAACCTGAGGAGAATCATCAAACGCAAAATGGAGAACCCAAAAACAAGCCCAAAAACAAAGCAAATCTGTTTGAATTTGTGCAACAGGAATGGACTGCTGTGACAACAGAACAATGTCAGGAGCTGGTGGAGAACATGCCAAGACGCATGGCTGCAGTCATCAAGTACAATGGTTATGCAACCAAGGACTAACTCCTGTGTTTATCATGTGACTAAAACCGACAAAAGAAATCATGGAATGTCTAAAAGCACTGTTTTGGCAGTACAATGCCATAGCTACTGATATAAGAACTTAAGTGATTTTGATAATTATCAAGAAAACCATGGAAAATTAATAGATATCAGCTCTTACATTAAACTCTTTCGAGCTGTTTTTGTTGTTATCATTATATTTGTTCAAACAAATGTACCTTTAGTTGTACCAGGCATTAAAATTAATTGAAGAAAACAAGGGTGGTCTAATAATTTTTCCATGACTGTATACGCAGAAATGCAGAGGTTTTTTTTTTCTTAAGTTTGTGGACACCCACACCCTACCCACATGAATTAATGCAGATAGTTTCAAAACTATGGGCATAGGCATGGCAGCAATAAAAATCTGTGCCTTAAATTTCAAGGTAATGTCATG